CACTGTAGAGCCACCACGGGGACCCTCACTGTGGACTCCAGTTGTGGGGGAGGCGTCCAGGCGCTGGACTTGACCCCACAGGCCACTTGACCTCAAGTGAAACTGCACTTTTTTTTTGTTTTGTTTTTGAAAGAGTTAGAGAAGGAGAGGCAGAGAGAGAGAGAGAGAGAGAGAGAGAGAGAGAGGTCTTCTATCCGCGGGTTCACTCCCCAATTGGCCACAACTGCTGGAGCTGCGCTGATCTGGAGCCAGGAGCCAGGAGCTTCTTCCAGGTCTCCCATGCAGGTGCAGGGGCCCAAGCACTTGGGCCATCTTCCACTGCTTTCCCAGGCCACAGCAGAGAGCTGGATCAGAAGTGGAGCAGCCAGGACTCAAACTGGCGCCCATATGGGATGTGGACACTGCAGGGGGTGGCTTTACCCACTATGCCACAGCTCCAGCCCGACCCCAAGATTTTGCAACAATGTCCACTGTGCAGAAAATTGAGCTCCTCTTACGTGGTGATGAGCGCCACCCGGTGGAGTCCCATGGATAAGGCCGTCTCTCAAGAAGGGATTTGTGTTCCTAGGGCTAGACTCGCCTGGAGCTGGCGGCCAGGGAGGGTCCAAGTGACTGCAGGCCTGAGGAGCCCCAGCCGGGTCCAGGAGGCTGCCTCCCTCCCCATGGCACAAGTCCCTAGCACCCATCAGAGTGAGCGGCTCCCTTTGTGGGTGGGGGTGAGGACTTGTGGGGTCCTGGCGCCCTGGGGTGGGAGATGGATAGGAGACCTGATTGATTGCCGGCCCACAGGGGCTCTCCGGGGTGGGGTGGGTACCAGCTCTAAGAAGCGCCCCTGAGCAGTGGCTTGGGAAGACAGGTATCTGCACAGACGTGAGACCCAGACAGACGGGGGGTGGGCGCAGCAGTGGCCCTGCCTCGCCCCGGAGCTCTGCAGCAGCTGCAGGGGAGTCTGGAACAGTCTCTCCGTAAGAACTACTCCTGGGCTGCTGTGGGTACGGGGGCATACTGGAGACCGGGGGGTGGGGCAGAGGAGGGGCGTTTCCGGGCTCCCAGGGCACAGGATACCAGGACAGGCTCAGAGCCCCGGCGGGGCCTGCTGCTGCTCTACCTCGCGTCGGACAAAGCAAGCAGGTTTTGGCGGGAGGAGCCAGGCCCTCCCTAACAACGCAGGCTGTCTTGCAGGGGTGGGGAAGGGCTGGCCCACAAAGGGGGCTGGCACTATGGTGTAATGGGCTAAGCCTCCACCTGCGACACTGGCATCCCATAGGGGGCGGTTTCGAGTCCCGGCTGCTCCATTTCCAGTCCAGTTCTCTGCTAATGCACCTGGGGAAAGCAGCAGAGGATGGCCCGAGTGCTTGGGCCCCTACCACCCACATGGGTGACCCTGGCTCCTGGCTTCGGACTGGCCCAGCTCTGGCCATTGCAGCCTATTTGGGACATGAACCAGCAGATGGAAAACCATCCCCCGCCCCGTAACTCTGCCTTTCAAATAGATGTTTTAAAAAAATAATAATAATTCCGGTATGAGCAGCAGAGGCCAGCCCGATCCCAAGCACAGCACAGTCCAGGAGAGAACAGAAGTGGCCGCCCCCTCCAGGTACCCTGGAGACCAGAACTGACAGCTCCCATTCCTACCTAACCGCCTTGGTCCAGGCTGCCTTCGTTGGCCCCTTACAAACGGCACGCAGGCCATGGTATCCAAGCAGGCTGCCGGCCGGGCGCACGGCCTCTCCAGAGCCCCTCTCTGCGCTCGGGCTCCGGGGGAGACCCATCGCTCCACCTGGCTTCAGAGGGCAGCCACGACAACCCACTTCCCAGGGTGAAGGAGGAGCCGGGAGGACGGATCGACGCGCTGGCGGCTATTTCTAGAATAACCAGGACGCCCACTTCTGAGCCCTTGCCTGAGGCTCTTGGTGGGCAGATGGCACACTTGTTCTTTTTTCATTTTCATGTGAAAGGCAGAGACAGAGAGAGAGCAAGAGAGGGAAACGGTGGGGTGATCAGTATACTGGAGCACTCCCCGCGAAGACCCACGACTGGGGCTGGGCCAGGCCAAAGCCGCGAGCCCAGGATTCGATCGGGGTCTCCCACGTGGGTGGCAGGGACCCGGGTCCCTGAGCCACCTCTGTCCTCCCAGGACGCACGGGCAGTAGCCAGGAGCTGGATGGGAGGCAGGGTAGGCAGGACTTGAACCAGGCGCTCCAGTATGGAAACATGGGCATCCCAAGCGATGACGTAACTGCTGCGCCAGACGCCTGCCCTGAGATTGTATGTCTTTTTTTTTTTTTTTGGTCAGGCAGAGTTAGACAGTGAGAGAGAGAGAGAGACAGAGAGAGAGTTATAGACAGTGAGAGACAGAGAGAAAGGTCTTCCTTCTGTTGGTTCACCCCCTAAATCCCTAAATGGCCACTACAGCCGCACTGCGCCAATCCGAAGTCAGGAGCCAGGTGCTTCCTCCTGATCTCCCAAGCGGGTGCAGGGCCCAAGCACTTGGGCCATCCTCCACTGCCTTCCTGGGCCACAGCAGAGAGCTGGACTGGAAGAGGGGCAACCGGGACTAGAACCCGGGGTGCCGGCGCCACAGGCGGAGGATTAGCCAAGTGAGCCACGGCACCGGCGATTGTCATTGAACCCTTGTTGCCACCTGGCATGGCTTTCTGACATACAGAGAAGGAACCTGGTCACTTCCTCTTATTTCTCTCCCCGACTGTGCTATCTGGGTCCAGATGCCCCATGCCCCACGGCAGCTGACCTGGCCCCCCAACCCCTGGTCCCCCCGATGTGGCACGGTGCAGAAAACCAGCACCCCAGAAGTTAGCATGCACTCTGAGAAGGAGCTGTGGCCAGACCAGTCAGGGAGGCGAGACAGACAAGGTGAAAACGGTTTCTGTCCCACCAGACTCTGCCGAGACCCAGAACCCCTTGGGCCTGGGGAATCTTCAGGAGCAGCCCGGGATGTGCCGGTTTTCGCAAATGCATCTGACCTGTCTGGCCAGAATATTTTTTGCAGAAACAGTGACATCTCAGGGGCTGGCGCTGTGGTGTAGCAGGTAAAGCCACCACCTGCAGTGCCAGCATCCCATATGGGTGCCGGTTCAAGACCCGGCTGTCCACTTCTGATCCAGCTCTCTGCTATGGACTGGGAAAGCAGTAGAAGATGGCTCAAGTCCTTGGGCCCCTGCACCCGTGTGGGAGACCTGGAAGAAGCTCCTGGCTCCAGGTTTCCAATCAGTGCAGCTCTGGCTGTTGCAGCCAGTTGGAGGGTGAACCAGTGAATGGAAGACCTCTCTCTCCCTCTCCTCTCTCTGTGTAACTCTTTCAAATAAAAAAAAAAAAAATTAGGTGCAGCTGGGCCAAGATGAAGCCCAGAGCGCCCTCTGGGTCTCCCCCGTGGGTGGCAGGGGCCCAAGCACTTGGGCCACCCTCCACTACCTTCCTCGGCACATCAGCACGGAGCTGCATTGGAATCTGGGATCCTGGGACTGACACCAGCACCCCGACATGAGATGCAGAGCCGTAACATGCTGTGTCTTAAATTTTTATTGACATGCCGGGCAGGGAAACGGAGATTTCCTATTCGCTGGTTTATACCCCAACAACAGCCCAGGCCGGGCCAGGCCGAGGCTGGTGGGCACCCGACGACTGGAGCCGTCACTGCTGCCTCCCAGGGTCTGCCTCAGCAGGAAGCTGGGGTCAGGAGCGCTGCCCGGCACGGAGGATACGGGATGCAGGTGTCCCTAGCAGTGTCTTCTCTGCGACACCAAATGCCAGCCCCTTGGCAGCTTTTCGTAAGGCAAAACCAAGGTCAGGAGCAAGGGCAGGCAAGAGGAGACCCCTCCTGGACTCCCAAGTGTGTTGCTGTGGACGTGAGAGGCAGTGTAGCCTAACTGCGGGCAAGCACCCGCGGCTTTGGGCTCCCGCTGTCCTCCGCCGGCCACCAGCGGTCTCCACCTGGCTGACAGGTTTGGGGCAGGTGAGCCTTGTCAGTGCCCGAGGGAGGGGAGCATTGTGGGAACAGGCGTGCTCAGCGAGGTTGCCCTGGTAGCCAGGGAGGGTGCGGGGTACCACCTGCTGGTGCCCAGGGCAGCCAAGGCAGGGCTGGCACGTGTGCACCCGGGGCGGGGGTGGGGGACCCTTCGGTGGGCTCGGAGCAGCGTGCTGACCCCCCCTCCGCCCCCCCCCCAGCTGTTCGTGGACAAGGACACGATCGTTAACGCCGTCGGGGCCTCGCACGACATTCACCTGCTGAAGATCGACAACCGAGAGGACGAGCTGGTGACCAGGATCAACTCCTGGTGCACGCAGCTGGTGGACAAGGTGAGCTCGCGTGGGGCCAGCGCTGGACCCCTCCCACCCCCACCCCCCCACCGCCGCGAGGGCTGCGGCTAACAGGGGTCTGACGGAGGGCGCTGGGGTTCGGTTTCACTCCTCAGATTCACAGGGATGAGATCACGCGGAACCGCAAGCGGGTGCGGGAGATCAATCAATACATCGACCACGCGCAGAGAGAGCTGGAGAGCCTGGAGAGCCCCGACATGGACTAGCGGCCGCGGCGGCCCCAGCCGGCGGCAGCGCGCATGCGCCCCCGGCTGTCCCAGGACGGCCACGGGGCTGGGGGGGAGGGGGTCTCAGCCCCCTCGCACCTGTCTTTCCCCTGCTCGTGGGAAAACATCCAGATACGGAGAGAAATAAACGCCCGAGCCGCCCTTCCCCTGTGCTTTCAAACCCGAGTCCACGTTCGTGTATGAATGGGAGGAAGAGGCTGGGGCCTGGGCGGGGCCGGCGTCGGCTGCCCCTGGGACCCGGGCACCGCCAGTGCGGGCTGCAGGTCGGGGGGCCGAGCCCGAGGCCCGTGGGTGCTGCGGAGCCAGGCCTGCAGGAGACGCTGCAGCTGCCCCCAGTGTTGGGTGCCGGGGCCAAGCCGCCCAGCTGGGCGCTGTGGCTCCTGTTCACCCCTGCAGGAGCGGGTGCCGCCGACCATGCTTCTCTCTGAGCGGGGGTGGGCAGAGTGGCCTATTTTACAACACGGGACAGTGCCTTCCCCCCCGGGGTGTCCTGGGGTCCCGGGAGACAGCGTGTGGGAAGCAGGGATGAGCAGCTGGGAGGCCATTCAGCCGGAGGAAGCCTGGGCTCGCCCCACTGCCTGTTCCCGGGGCCACGGAGGCTTCTGGGCTCCCGTGGGGAGGCTGAGCGCACACACCCACGCCCGGCGACTGTGCCGGCCCGCTGGGCTGTTTCCAGAGCAAGGGGTCGCTCTCCAGAACAGTAAGAAGCGAGCAGCTTGGCCCGCGGGGGCGCCCTTCCACAGGCGGCCTCGTCACAGCCAGGGACACACGTGCAGCCTGCAGCTCCCCTGCTGCTCCATCTCGGGACCCCGAGCTGCGGCGGGGGAGACCTGGGGGCACCAGACACTGCCAGTGCAAAGGGCTATTTTAATAAAGTTAGGGTCGAGGGGAAGTCTCTCGCCCAGTCTCTCGGCCCCAACCCTCCGTCACCGCTGGCCAGCCCGCGGCACCCCGAGTCGGCTGCAGTCCTGGGGTGACTCAGGGAGGATGTGCAGGCCGGGATGGGGGGATGGGGGCTGTGGCCGTGCAGCCTCTGTCCTGCCCCCCCGCCCCCGGACGCCCGGCCTCACTCCTGCAGGAGTTTGTGCTTGACCGTGGAGCTCTGGGAGCAGAGGTGGATGAAGAGGGTGCCGGCGGCCGTGCGGGCCCGCAGCTCCTGCAGCTCGTAGTCGTGGGCCCACTCCACGTTGCCCCACTTCTGGATCTGAGGAGGAGGAGAGCAGCCGCTGACGGGCACCTGGCCGGGTCCATCACGTGGGAGACCGGCGTGGCTGAGGGGCGCTGGGGGAGGACCCCCCGTCACCCACTCCTGTGGATGGCCGGAGCAGGCGACCCTCCCTGTGTGGTCTAGGAGCTGCGTGTAGGCCCGGGCCGGCGGTGGCTGCCCACGGCTGGGCGGGCTGGGCACCCACACCACCCATGGATCTCCTGGGAGGGCACCCAGCCCGCCTGCGGCCCCTGCTCCCAGGACCCCGGCGTGGAGTGGCCTGTGACTGAGTGCTCCTCGGACACGCGACATGGCCGTCTGAACATCTCTGACTCCAAACTGGCCTGCGGGCTCATCCCCGGCCAGGGCCCGGCAGGCCAGGCCGGCTGCTGCCCCCGCTCGCCCAGGGACCTGGACTCTGCCACACCACACGAGCCGGCTCCCCCAGCCCCTCCCCTCCCCATTCCTGCGTGGTGGGTCCTGGCATCCAGAGTACCCAGCATGCTCCGCCAGGCGCAGGCAGTGCCTGTCCCCGAGGCTCTCCTGAGCGGCCGGGGGAGGGGCACACGGTACAGGAAGGCATTTCTCTGTCTAGTCCTCAGAGCAGCCGAGGTTGGAGGCACGGCTGCAAGACGGCAACCCCGAGCCTGCGAACGCAGCAGCCCCTGCCGGGAAGAGACTCAGGGTGGGCAGGCTTGGCCAAAGCAGGGGCTGAGTCAGGCCAGGGTGGCGTGGTGATCACCCACAGGCAGCCAGCAGCCCTCCAACCTGCTCCCACAGGTCCCAGAGGGACAGCCTTGTGACTCAGGGGCCCCCTGTGTAGAACGGGCACCCGCACAGCCCCCAGCTGGCCGGGCTGTGCACAAGAGGAGGTGGGGGCACTTCCTGTGCCTGCCGATGCCTCGGACGGGCCTTATTCTGGTGGCTGGACTTACTCGACGGCAACACAGGCCAGGGTTAGGTGAACGTGCGGTGCCCCTGCCCCGCCCCCCCGGGCCGCGACCCTCACCTGGTACTCCTCCTCCAGGCGCGACAGCAGCACGGCCTGCTCCACCGTCAGGTGCAGGTCGGTCAGGCCCAAGGTCAGCACCATGGACTTGAGCTGGGTCACCACGAACTCGATCCCTGCGGGGCCGCGAGCGGAGTCAGGCCCACGCCCTCAGGCAGCCCCTGCACCCCCGAGCAGGGAAAGGGAGGGGGAGAGTGTGCTGCGGCCCTTGGGGTCCACGCCCTCTTCCCTGGCGTCCTCCTCCACCCAGCCTGGCCAACTAGAGCAGCCCCGCCCCACAGCCCCGCAGCGGGTTCCCAAAGGGCTTGTAACTGCAGACATCGGCTGGAGAGCCAAGCCCGGCTTTCTTGCTAGGAGGCGCGGAGCTGTGTGGATGGCCAGCTCCCAGACATTCCCCCCGCCCGGGCCCCACCCCTCACTCGGGGTGCTGAGTGTAGTGTGTGTCACCCGCCCACAGGAAGCTGCGCACGCGCTCTCCGGGCACACCTTGGAGGGCCCACATGTTGTAGGATGCCAGGTGGTTGGCCAGCACCTTGTGAGTCCTGGCGGGGATGCTGGGTCCCATGATACTGGTGGAGGAGCCGATCTCCACGCCGTACCTGCAAGGAGAAGGCTTAAAGCCTGCCCGAGACCTGTGTGGAGTTTCTGTCTCCTGACTCTGGCCTGGCTCAGCCTTGGCTGTTGCAGGCATTTGGGGAATGAACCAGCAGTGAGACCCTTTTTATCTTGTCTTGCTACATTTCAAATAAATAATTTTTAAAAATACATCAAATTAATTTTTTTTAAATACAGCATGGGATACTTGTTTTTCAAATATTTTAAAAGCCTTTTAGGGTGGCCGGCACCGCGGCTCAATACGCTAATCCTCCACCTGGCGGCGCCGGCACACCGGGTTCTAGTCCCGGTAGGGGTGCCAGATTCTGTCCCGGTTGCCCCTCTTCCAGGCCAGCTCTCTGCTGTGGCCAGGGAGGGCAGTGGAGGATGGCCCAGGTGCTTGGGCCCTGCACCCCATGGGAGACCAGGAGAAGCACCTGGCTCCTGCCTTCGGATCAGCGCAGTGCGCCTGCTGCAGCGGCCATTGGAGGGTGAACCAATGGCAAAGGAAGACCTTTCTCTCTGTCTCTCTCTCTCTCACTGTCCACTCTGCCTGTCAAAAAAAAAAAAAAAAAAAAAAAAAAGCCTTTTAGGGTGGCCAGAGCCGTGGCGCAGTGGGTAAAGCCGCCGCTTGCAGTGCTGGCATCCCATGTGGGCACCAGTTCGAGTCCTGGCTGCTCCACCTCTGATCCAGCTCTCTGCTATGGCCTGGGAAAGCAGTAGAAGATGGCCCAAGCGCTTGGGCCTCTGCACCCACATGGGAGACCCAGAAGAAGCTCCTGGCTCCGGGCTTCAGATCGGCACAGCTCTAGCCATCATGGCCATTTGTGGAGTGAACCAGCGGATGGAAGACCTCTCTCTCTCTCTCTCTCTCTGCCTCTTAACTCCACCTTTCAAATAAATAAATCTTTAAAAGAAAAAAAAAGCTCTTCCCATTAAGGAAGACGCCGGGTATCAGCAACTCCTTGAACCCTGCGCCCACGGACGTGACCCGTGACGCATGAGCAGCGCCCGACACTGCAGTCATGGCGATGAAGAGAAGAATGAAAAGTGTCCCCCAAATCTGCGCATTAACTGTGGGCTCGGCACTGAACGCACCCACTCCTGGGGTCCTCCCCACACCACCGGCCCTACTCGCAGATGAGGAAACTGAAGCTGGACGGACTCAGTGGCCCAGAGGCACACGGCTCCCGCTCACGGTCGCGGAGCTGGCGCGCAGACCGGCACCGCTGCCCTGCTCCTGCCCCGGACCTAGGCGGATCCTGCCGGGATCCTGCCCCTCCCGGAGGGCGCTGGACTGGCCCTGCGCCTGCTGCGGGCTCGCTGAACGTGTCTCCCAAGGGACCGCTGTTCTGCAAGGCGCGCGGTCTCAGAACGCCCGAGGGGAGCCGGGCCCCAAGGGCACCCTGAGCTCCGAACGCTCGGGGCGCTGGCGGTGTGGTACCAGCCAGGCCTCCACGGCCTGCCCGGGCCGGCCGGTCTGTGCCACCTCTTACCTGTTCTCAGCCCACTCTATAACTGGATCCCATTCATTCTTTTGGAGCTCCACCAAGGTCTCGGGCTCTTCCACCCTGTAGCTAATTCATGGCAAAAAACCACCTTCATTAATGGAAAAGTACAATTCTTTCATTCGGTGACCGCAAAGGAAACCACAAAGGGGGAGGGCACAGGCTGCTCCGCCCTGGCCCCGCCCCCAGCCCTGCAAGGCTCTCCCCTAAAGTGGCAGTCCTGGGGCCAGCGGCAGCGGCAGCACCTGGGAGCCCGTGAGAAATGCATGTTCCCAGGCCACACACCCCACCCCACCCATCTACAGAAACCGGACCCTCTGGGGCGAGAGCCACAGCACGCAGGCTGAGCCCCGGCCCGGTTGCTGCCGCCTTCCCAGAGACGCACACGAATGGCTCGTTGCCCTCTCAGGAGCCCACCCCCCTCTCGGTGTGGACACACGGTCCTCAAGGCCAGGCTGTGGCCCTCGCGCTGACCGAGAGACACGGAGACCCAGCTGGCTAAGGGGGAGCCGGGCTGCAGGGGTGTCCCCAGACCGCCAACCCAGGTGGACGCCGTGGAAAGCCATGGTCTCGCGCAAGGGAGAGGAGGAGAGAGGCCGTGCATGTGCAGAACAGCGGGCCCCTCCCCACCCACCAGGGCCCCCGGGACCTGCTCACGCCAGGGCGTCACTTACCAGATGGTGTCAGTGTCCAGAAACTTGATGGCCGCTTGGATCAGCTGGTCCTTGCTCCGCTGGGTCGGGTTGTCCAAGGACGTGTTGCACAGGGTGGTCTGCGGGAAGAGGTGGGTGAGGGGAGGGGGCGGCCGTCAGCACCGGCTGGGCTCGGCCGAAAGCCGGGTGCAGGGCAGCAGGGCGGGGAGCCCTGGAGCGGCGGGGACTGTGCTCCCGTGTGCCGGGGCAGCTGTGGGATGCTCGCAGCAGCGCGGTGGGCCTCCCCGAGGTCTCGGGATTCATTGATTTACAGAACGAGAGAAGTGACAGCGGGAGACATCCTCCACCCGCTAGTTCACCCCCAGATGAAAGACTGCTCTCTGTGTCTGTCCCTCTCTCTGTAGCTCTGACTTTTAAAATAAATAAAAATTTAAAAACAAAGTACCTATCTAATTTAATCCCCATGACAAAGCTCTGGAGTAGGTACAATTATCATACCCATTTCACAGATGTAAGAGACTGAGGCCCGGGGCGGTCAGACACAGTGAATAAGACCCGTAGGCAGGAATGGGACACAGATCTGACAGAACGGCTTTTCCAGCGGGCGCCCTTAGCACACAGGCAGCGGGGACGCTGACATCCAGGCCGCACCCACACTGGTTCTGAGATCTGCCTGGACAATAAGAGGTTGCTCAGTGCGCTGTCTGCGGCCCTGGTCGCCCCCAGCTCATCTGCTGGCCAAGGAGCAGGCTGGCCCCTCAACAGGACGCCCTCCGGGTTGGTGGGCCAGGGTGGGAGCCACCATCCTCAGGCGGGGCGCCCCCTGCGCTGACCACAGCTCCCTGAGGCGAGCGCTCTTCACCCACCTTTTAGAGGCGGGGGGCCCAGGGCCGAGCAAGCGGCAGCCCCTTCCCCAGGGTCACCGTCAGGGAGCCCCTTGCCCAGGGTCACCGTCAGGCAGCTGCGGGCTGGACCTGGGGGCCTCAAGCAGCCCCCTCGGCGGGCACGGGCGGGGCTGGCACTATGGGAGCCTTCCTGCCCCTGCTGCCTTTAGCCAGGATTTACCGAGTGCCAACGAGGCTTCCCGCCAGGGGCTGGCTGTCGCTGGTTAAGAGTGCAAGGGACGTGGCCCCTGCCCTTCTGTCGCTCAGCGGGCAGCAGGGGAGACAGACAGGACCTGTGCAGACGCCAAAAAAAAAAAAAAAAAAAAAAAAAAAGCAACAGCGACAACCCGGACGCAGGATGAGCCGCCGTGACAGAGAAGAGGGCCGGGCAGCCGGCAGAGGTGACGAATGTCCGAATGTCCTCAGACCAGAGCTGGCCATGCGAGGGGCCACGCGAGGGACTGCAGGTGGCTAGGCCGCTGGAGAGAGAGCCTGGCGAGACGTGCGGCTGTCCCGGGCAGGCCGGAGCCCTCCCACCCCCACCCCCGGGCCCTGCCAGGACGTGGAAGGGAGCCCCGGGCTTGTTACCAGGTGCATGGTGTAGGACTTGATGGTGTCCTGCTGGGACTCCCACTCGGTGGCCACGGCAATGGCCAGGGCCTCGCTGGGCACGGTGAAGAGCTTGGCCTGGGGCGTCTTCAGCTTCCTGTGGTCCAGGTTTATCTCAAAGCCACCTCGAGACAGCAAATGAAGGCCTCTCAGGGGTCGTCACGGGGCAGCGGGGGCCGAGCCTGTATTTGGCCGGAGTCCCTTTACGGAAACGCGTAGGGACGAAAGCGCAAAGGACAATCCCGCCACTGAAGTGGCAGCGGATGAAGAAAAAAATAAAACAAGCAAGCAAGCAAGCAAGCAAAGGAGCCCGCGCTGCCGGCCGTCCACGCTCAAGAGCTCAGACACTCACCTTCGCCCTGGCTGATGCTCACGTTCTGGTAAAACCTCTTCCTCTCTGTAAGAGACGATTGCTTCATTAAGGCAGTTGAAACCACGCCGCCGCGGCTCTGGGGGCCCCCGCCCCGTGTGTGCAGACGGCTCGCTAGCGCGGATGGATTTTGGGCCACCCCCACGGCTGCCCACGCCCCGCACACATCCCAGACTGGGTGAAAGTCATAGACCCATTCGGGCAAGACTCTGGGCCTCTCAGGAGAAGCCAGTGTGTGCGTGTGCAGTGCACGTGTGTGTGTGCACGCGTGTGTGGTGTGTGGGCAGGAGGTAGAGCTCCCAGGAGCGCCTCCCACCCCCTCTCCCCAATTAATTAACCTAATTAACCGGCTTGCACATCTATTCAGCAGGAACTCCAAACCTTTGCTTTAAGAAGGGGAAGAAAAAAAATCAGTGTTCAGCATTTTCTTTTGAAAACAACTTGAATAATATCTTGGACGATGCTGTAAACACATACTTCTTTACCCTGCAAGGATTAAAACCTAAGGCCTGGCCCCGGCGCTGTGGCGTAGCAGGTAAAGCCACTGCCTGCAGTGCTGGCATCCCATATGGGCACTGGTTCAAGTCCCGGCTGCTCCACTTCTGGTCCAGCTCTCTGCTATGGCCTGGGAAAGCAGTGGAAGATGGCCCAAGATGAACCCCTGCACCTGCGTGGGAGACCTGGAGGAAGCTCCTGGCTCCTGGCTTCAGATCAGCTCAGCTCTGGCTGTTGCGGCCATTTAGGGAGTGAACCAGCGGATGGAAGATGTCTGTCTTTTTGTCTCTCCCTCTCTGTAACTCTGTCTTTCAAATAAATAAATACATCTTTACAGAAAATGGCAATGTAGTGTGTGGAGGAAAAGGAGATCCCTTAGTTTGCTCTCAAGCTTTAAAAAGGGCAATGTTAAGTTAAACTCATCCAAACAGACTCTAAAGATTCAAAGGCCCTGCCGTGTGCATCCTGGGCCCAGGACGATGGGCAGAGGGCGTGGGTTTCTCGCCAGACACAGGGTTCCCATGTTTCCACGCCACACCGGTGTCACTCCTGTTAAAGACAGGAAGCCGGGGTGGGTGTTTGGTGGGCACTTGAACGTCACACAGGATGGCGGCATCCACGTCAGGGTGCCTGGGTCACGAGTCCCGGCTCCCTGCCTCAGTGCAGCCTGGGAGGCAGGAGGCGATGGCCCAAGCGGCTGGGTCCCTGCACCCACGGGGGAGACCCGGCCTGCGTCCCAGGCTGCTGGCTTCAGCCCGGCACGGCCATGCATGCTGCAGGCAGTGCAGACTGGGGGGGCAGCAGACGGGGGTCTCTGTCTCTCTGCTTTCCCGTAGAGTAAGGACGGGGACCCCGTGTCCCCAACCAACTAAGCAGCTTCCTGCTAATGGCCTGGAAACCTAGCAGCCGCCAGTGTCCAGGCTGGCCTTCTGTTTGGACCGGCCCAAAGTCTCAGGATCTACAACTCCCACAGTGCACCAGGAAGAGGAAGTGCCGGTCTCAGCGCAGCCCCAGCGCCTTTATCCTTTAAAACAGTGCCATCTGGTGGCCGCCTCTGTTGTCTGCACCCCTAGGGGCAGCTGTATTTCTAGGTAGCAAAATCTCCAGGCGAGATAACATAAAGAACCCTTAACAAATCCACAATAGAAAGACAACCCAATTAAAAAATGGAAGAGGGATTTTAAAATAGACATTTTTCTCAAAGAAAATATACACGTGGCCGAGAAGCACGTGCAAACACACGTGAGGTCATTCACAAGTAGGGAGATGCAAACCAAGACCACAGGTGGAGATCCCGCCTCACGCCCTGTCCCATAGCTGTTGTCAAAAAGACCTGGGCAGCTGTTTAGTGTAGAGGCTGAGACACCACGTCCCCCGTCAGAGTGCCCCGATTTGACACCTGATTCGTTCCCGACTCCAGCTTAGTGCAGACCCCGGGAAGCAGGGGTGATGGCTCACGCAACTGCGTTCCCACCACCGGCTCTGGGCTTTCTGCTTTTTAAAGATTTTTATTTATTTGAAAGGCAGGGTTGCAGAGAGGCAGAGGGAGAGAGAGGTCTTCCATCCGCTGGTTCACTCCACAAATGGCTACAACAGCCGGAGCTGCACCCATCCAAAGCCAGGAGCCAGGAGCTTCCTCCGGGTCTCCCATGTGGGTGCAGGGGCCCAAGCCCTTAGGCCATCCTCTACTGCTTTCCCAGGTCATAGCAGAGAGCTGGATGGGAAGAGGAGCAGCTGGGACTAGAACCGGCACCCATATAGGATGGTGGTGCGGCAGGTGGAGGATTAACCTACAGCACCACATCGCCAGCCCCGAATAAACATTTTAAAAATAGCAGTAACTGTTGGCAAGGATGTGGAGCAATCAATCCCCACGCATTGCTGCCGGGGCCTGTGACCCAGCGCAGCCCCCGTCGGGAGAAAGTTAATGTCACCATCTGACCCGGCAGTTCCAGGGCCCACAGAAAACCTGCACGCACAGGGCGGGTGCCTGGCACGGCAGCGTAGATGGCTGCTGGCACACCCACACCCTGGATCAGAGCTGCCCATTCGAGCCCCAGCTACTCTGCTTCCAATCCAGCTTCCCGCCAGTGTGCTGGAGGCGGAGGCTCATGGCTCAGGAGTTTGCTTCCTTGTCACTCCTGTGGAGAGACTGGGGTGGAGTCCCTGGGCTCCTGGGCTCAGCCCTGGCCGTTGTGGGCCTTTGGTGAGTGGGAGACCTCTGTCTGTCTCTGCCTTTCAGACAGAATGAAAATACAATTTTTTGAAAAGTGTACACAAATGTCAACAGCAAAATTATTCATAATAGGCAAAAAGTAGAACCAATCCAAATGCCTTATCAGTGAATGAACGGATAAAATGAAATACAGTCCATGTACACAGTGGAACATCAAGTGACAAAAAGTAATGGAGGCGTAGCAGATTAAAATGCCACCTGCAGTGCTAACATCCCACATGGGAACTGGTTCTAGTCCCGGCTGCTCCTCTTCCGATCCAGCTCTCTGCTATGACCTGGGAAGGCAGTAGAAGATGGCCCAAGGACTTGGGCCCCTGCACCCACGTGGGAGACCTGGAGGAAGCTCCTGGTTCCAGATCAGCACAGCTTCAGCCATTGCAGTCATCTGGGGAGTGAACCAGTGGGTGGAAGACCTCTCTTCTCTCTCTCCCTCTGTAACTCTGCCTTTCAAATCAATCAATCAATCTTTAAAGAACCAAAAGTACGAATACTTGATACAACCTTAAAGACGAAGGCAAAAAAGAGACAAGTGGGGTCCCATCAAACTAAAAACCCTCTTACAGCAGTGCAACAGTCAATCAACAGAGCGAAGGCACAACCCACAGAACAGGAGAAAATATTCACAAACTCTGCCCCTGACGAGGGGGCACAAAGAAGCAATTTCAGCCCAAAAACAGCACCCAAAGGAGCCAGAGAGAGAGCAAGAGCTGTACACAGACACCCCTCGAAGGAGGACACACAGATGCCCAAAGGGACCCGAGCAAAGGCTCAGCACGGCGAATCGCCACGGGAGCGCAGAGCCAGCCCGGGGAGAGAGCGTCTCCCTTGTCAGGTGCAGGAGATAACGCACACCAGCTAGGAGGTGAGGGAGGGCACCCTCGGAGGCTGCGGGTGGGAATCTGCGCAGTCGCGGTGCAAGGCAACACAAAGGCTTCTCCAGAAACTACAGCTAGAACCACCACAGGTGGCCGGCGCCATGGCAGAGTGGGTGAGGCTGCTGCCCGCAGCGCCGGCATCCCATATGGGCACCAGATCAAGTCCTGCTGCTCCACTTCCCATCCAGCTCTCTGCTGTGGCCTGGGAAAGCAGTAGAAGATGGCCCAAGTGCTTGGGGCCCTGCACCCGCGAGGGAGACCTGGAGGAAGCTCCTGACTCCTGGCTTCAAATCGGCTCAGCTCAGCCACTGTGGCCAATTGGAGAGTGAACCAGAGAATGGAAGACCTGCCCTCTCTCTCTCTGCCTCTGCTTCTCTCTCTGTGTAACTGTGACATTCAAATAAATAAATACATCTTTAAAAAAAAAAAAGAAAGAAAGAAACTCAGCCTGCTGCAGGTTTACTGAATTTCTGTCCAGCCCTGCTGAGACCACATGGTTCTGTGTTCCTTACACGGCCTGTGGGCTGAAACCTTCCCAGCCCCGGGACTCCCATGGTAACCGATTTGAGTTCTCACGGCGTGTGCGATGCACTGACACATCACGTGGGACCCCGTCAGAGTGTACAATTTTTATATATCAGCTATAAAGGTTTTACAAATAGATTTTTTAAAAAAATTATTTATTCATTTGAAAGTCAGAGTTACAGAGAGACAGGAGAGGCAGAGAGAGAGAGAGAGGTCTTCCATTCACTGATTCACTATCCCAGATGGCTGCAACGGCTGGAACTGTGCCGATCCAAAGCCAGGAGCCAGGAGCTTCTTCCAGGTCTCCCACGTGGGTGCAGCGGCCCAAGGACTTGGGCCATCTTCCACTGCTTTCCCAGGTCACAGCACAGAGTTTTATGGGAAGAGGAGCAGCCGGGACTCGAACCAGCGCCCATATGGGATGCCAGCACTGCAGGCGTCAGCTTACTTGCTACGCCACAGCGCCGGCCCCCTAAATAGGTTTTAAAAGACTACACTCTCTTTACCTGAAATGTCCAACGCAGAGCAATCTAGAAATGGAGACAGGGCAGTAGCGGTTGCCCGTGGCTGGAGGGTGGACAGGGTAAGGGGAGATGATAACTGCAGGGTAAGAGTTCCTTCTGGGGGTGACAGAAATGCTCCAAAATTGAGCGTGATGCAGAGTGCGTGATCGGAATGTACTAACACCCCCTGAATCTGACCGAAAGAGAATGACCTGCAGCGTAAGCGAATCAGCTCTCGATGAAGTGCTCAACTCTTTTTTTTTTTTTGCCCCAGGCCAAATGTATGAACACGCTATTTTCCAGACAGCTCTGACATGCAGGCCAGGGGCTGACAAACTTCCTGTCAAGACCACAAGGCAGGGCTGGTGCTGTGGCGTATGGCGGGTTAAGCTGCCACCTGTGACTCGGGCATCCCAGATGGGCGCCGGTTCGAGTCCCAGCTACCCCATTTCTGATCCAGCTCCCTGCTGTGGCCTGGGAAAGCAGTGGAAGATGGCCCAAGTGCTCTTGCGCTCTCTCTCTCTGTCTCTTTCCCTCTCCCCCCACCCCCGTAACTCTGCCTTTCAAATAAAAATGAATAAATAAAACAAGAACCACAAGACACAAATTCCAGGCCTTGCAGGCCACGCGGTCTCTGCTGGGAACTCCCAACTGCCCGTTCGGTGAAAGCACCTGGAAATGACGGGTAAATGAAAGAGCACTGTCTCTGTGCCAATAAAACTTTATTTGTCATTTGCTCCAAAAAAAAAAAGAAAACAAGTAGCAGGCTAGCTTCCTGGTCTACGCATAACAAACCCTGCCTGGATTTCACAGCGCACCCTAGGAGGCTGCCGGGGCTGGGGTAGGGGGTGCCGGTACACACTTGGAGCAGCCGTGTGGCCCAGGCGACAGACAAGGCCCCACTGGGCATGCCCACGCAGCCAGGACACCTCCCACACGGGGCAGCATGGAGCCAGGCTGTCACATCAAGTCTCCCAGCGCCTCAGAGACCCTCTCCTAACCCCCCTGCCCCGGCCTCTGATGACCTCAGGGCCACACTGCAGTCTCCCCCGAGAACAACCGGCTTGGCGCGACTTCCCCCACGCTGAAGCTGAGAACTGGAGGAGCCTTCTAGAACGCAGACACGCACATGCGCACATGCACGCACACACATGAGCGCACGCACACAAACAGGCATGCACACACGCACGCACCCACACACATACGCACGCACACACACACACGCGCGCGCGTGCACGCGGGGGCCTGGTCTCCGTGTCTCCTCGCCCCTTGCTGCGTTCCCTCATCCACGCGTGTTTTCTCTGCATCTGACTGCCGACCACGCACCGGGGACATCCGGGGGATCCGCACTCCAGAGGAAGCCGGCGGGTCCAAGGCCAAGTGAGCCGCCTCCATTTCAACCCTTTCCTTCTGCGCCCTTTGCTGGTGCTGGGCCCCACTGGGGACGCCCGTCCTTTTCTGCTAATGGCTCTTCCTGGCACACCTGCGGGCCCTGACCGGGGGGGGGGGGGGGGGGGGGGAACACACACACACACACACACACACACACACACACACGACACATCTCATTTGTATAACCAGGAGGCGGCGCTGTGGTGTAGTAGGTAAAGCCGCCGCCTGCAGTGCTGGCATCCCATATGGGCTACGGTTCGAGTCCCGGCTGCTCCACTTCTGATCCAGCTCTCTGCTGTGGCCTGGGAAAGCAGTGGAGGATGGCCCAAGTCCTTGTACCCGCGTGAGAGACCCGAAGAAGCTCCTGGCTCCTGACTTCGGATCGCCGCGGCGGGTTAGAGGTTCAGCTTGGTCACCTGGCTACACACACTCACCCCTGCTGCGCCCCCGGCCCAGGAAAACAGCGGAAAGAGACGCCACTCCCGATGTCCCCCCGCCCCACCCCCAAACCCCGCTCCTGCGGGGAACCAGCGTCACCGCCTCCCACAGGCCTCCTCGAGTTGGGAGGCAGAGGGGTCGCCCACTTGTTCAGGACAGACGGCTAGACACGGCCAGGAAGCTGCAGCCTTGACCTCTGCCCTGTGACCTTGGCCAAGTCCTGACCCGCGGCCCGAACCTGCCGCGTTTGAAACCTCGGCTGACCCTCGCTTCCTTTAGCAGACGCCTCGTGCTCCCATTAACCATGCGAGCCCGGTCCCGCCGCCCGGCCCTGCACGCCCAAAAGCTCGCTCTCAGCCCACCCCAGCCCGACGTGGCCCCTCACCTGTCGGCGGCGCGTAGGCCCGGGCCGGGGACCCCAGGGCTGGCCCCGGCCCCACGGGCCGAGTCAGGAGGCGGCGCCCCCGGTCCCGCAGCCGGAGGCAGCTCCTCCACATCGCGCCCCAAGGGCCTCGGGCGCACGCGGGGCGCGAGACCAAGCCGCGCTGTCCGGCTGTACGGAAACCTCTCACGCCTCCCCGGATCCCCTCAGCCGCCTCTGGACGCCGCCATCTTCCGCATAAGCCCTACGGCGCACCGTAGCCGCCGCGCGCCTCCTGCGCACACCGCCCCCGCCCCCGCCGGAGAACCTGCAGCACAAACGCTCCTCGCCCCGCCCCTCCTCCGCGCCGCGCCTCCGGAATAAGACTACAATTCCCAGAAGTGCCCTCGCGCTGCCCGCCACGTGTTTTCTCTGCTCGCCAATGGGCGGAAGCGCCGCGTGAGCTTGCTCCCGCCCTCCCCGGCGCTCCGGAGCACGTGGAGGGAAAGTAGAGTAGGGGTCTGAGCTCAGTACCGGGAGGCCCTGCTCGCAGGTCCAGGGTCGCGGGGGCGGCCGGAGTGCTCGGTGCGCAGCGAGCGGGCGCCCCCCCCCCCCGCCCGTGCCCCGCGCGTGCGCGCTGTGCCCCTAACGGCCCGGCACGCGCGCGGCAACGGTGGCGGTTCCTCTCCCCTCCCCTGCCCCTTCCCCGCGATGCCGGTGCGCACCGAGTGCCCCCCGCCGGCCAGTGCGTCTGCCGCGTCCGCGGCCTCGCTCAACCCGCCGCCGCCCATCAACACCCAGCAGCCCGGCGTGGCCACCAGCCTGCTCTACAGCGGCTCCGAGTTCCGTGCCCACCAGAAGAGCAAGGGGAATTCGTACGACGTAGAGGTGGTGCTGCAGGACCCTCTGGCCGGGTCCTCCCGCCTGCTAAGACCCTGAGGGAGCCTCCCCGAGTCTCCCAGACCGAGACCCGCTGTCCAGGGTCCTCCTCTTGGGGCCCTCCTCCTGCTGGAGTTTGCTGCGGGCAGAGCAGGATCTCCCGGTGCAACCCACGACTGCTGGCTGCTCAGACCGGGCACTTTCCGCCCGGGTGCTGTCAGCATCTTATTAACTGCCATGCCCTTCCCCGCCCTCTCGAGCGGCTGTGAAACCCCCAAACTCTATGGAATTCAGGGAGAATCGCCCACAGGACGGGAGCTGCAGGTCAGAGCTGTGGGTGAGCGAGTGTGGCTCAGCTGTTCCAAACGCTTCCCCAGTGCCAAGGTCAGCAGATGACGGTACCTACAAGTGCTCTGGCAGGTTTCGCAGGGAACACCTTTGTCACCAGCACCAAGCCTGGAGGCACCTCGGCGTCCCTGCGGTGCTGGCATCCTCTGGCTGCCCGAGTTCATTGCTGCGTGGAGGCCTTGCCTTAGTGTCTGATTTATGGCGTTACCCGGAAGTAGTTGCCGTCTCAGACCTGATAAATGGCACAAAAACTTGTCCAGTTTCTCAGCCCGAGCCCTCGCGTGACGTGAAACATCTCAGCGTGTGCTCCAGGGAGCACGATGCTTTAATCCGAGGGTTTCCTGTGCCAGGAATCCCGCTCAGGATGACGCCACGGGTGTGGGTGTACTATGCGAGTTCAGCCACAAAGTAACCATGCCGGTCTCAGAGCCACATAAGAAGTCACTGGAGCTGTCACAGCACACCTCGAGGCGTGTGGAGCTGGTGTGGTTGCAGGCTGGGTCCTGGCGGGACCCACAGCGGGCCCGGTAATCTTCCACCTTCCCTCGCAGCCAACCCTGACATTCCCTGTCCCATCTGTCTCGGTCTCCGAGAATGGACCCTGCACACAGAGCCTCCAGCCACCGGGTAGCAAAAGCCCTTGCTCGCTCACTCACCACTTTGAAAGCCCTCCATCCCTAACCTAATGGCTCCAAGGGCAGCAAGTTTACTGTACACCCAGCAGGGTTGAGCAGGTCTCTTGGGGCGGGGGAGGCCAGCGTGGAAGAAGAGGAAATTGGCTGGTGGGTGGGCATCGGCTGGCGGCTGCCACCCTCAGAATCCACTGTGCCCCTCGCGCCTCTTCCTCCTGGGCTCCTGGCTCTTGTCATTAGAAACATGAGCGTGTGGACAGGGCGGGCACTCACAGGGTGGTCAGGGTGCTTGACTGGCATCTTAGTTTGTGGCTGGCACGTGCTGTGCCACGGGGGTTTGCTAAGAGGCTGCTTGGAGTCTTCTGCCCATTCGTGGGACGGTCACGCAGCACCGACGCGGAAATGGACTAGGGAGAGAAGTCAGCCGGGGTCAGGGGTGGCGGGCACCACGTGCACGGGTGGGGAGGGCTCGTGCCACAGCCTGCAGCCCAGCCAGAGGCCTGAGCGGTCAGTGAGCGGTCCAAGGTCCTCAGCTGCAGGGAGCTGACAGCGTTCTGGGACCAGCTGGCTTTGTCTACAGGCCACTTGGCGCATGTGTACAGGGGACTCCTGAGGGCCCCGGGGGCTGGTGGGGAGCCTTGGGCTCTGCCGCCTTCCCCAGCCTGGCCTGGCGGGATCTCGCAGCACCGCGGCGTGTCCCCCGCTGGATATGTTGTTCATCTGCGTGTCTTCTCTTTGCAGCACGTGGACACAGGGAACTCTTACCTTTGTGGCTACTTGAAGATTAAAGGCCTCACCGAGGTAAGCCCCTGTGCACTCCAACCAGAGCCCGGAAGGGTCCAACTCACCGCAGCCTCACAGGGAGAGGGGCAGGCTGTCCCCACCCGGGACCCGAGCAGAGCACGTGGTCGGTCGCCAAGCACCTGTGCTGCGTGGGGAGCGGGCAGCATTGTGGTCGTGGCACATCCTGTCGGAAGTCATTCAGAGGAAGCTGTGTAAATGATGTCCCGGTGTGACCCACGCTGTTGGTGTTGTTTTGAAGTCCTCCAGGAGCAGGTCGCCCTTAGTAAGGGAAGCCCCTGCAGTGCTGAGCATTAGTCAGGCTCCTCAGAGGAGGAGGGTGTGCCAGCCTTGGCCTTCCCCGGGGTCCAGCCTCACACAGCACGGAGACTTGTCCCTCCCCGGTGCAGATGGCGTGGCCTTGACAAGCGCTGGCTCCTCTGCACAGGCCCAGATATGGGCTTAGCGCAGCCAGCGCAGGGACATGTAGTGAGAGAGGGCCCAGCGCGTTTCCAGGAGGCCCCGGCCATGTCAGGCCTCAGTTGCATACCTAGGGGCTCTAGGTCACATACCACCAGTGGAGCCATTGTGAATGGGCAGGGCCTGGGCTTCCAGCATAGTCAGGGTTGTGCAACCATTTTTTTTTTTTTTAGGATTTATTTTATTTATTCGAAAGAGTTACAGAGAGAAGTAGAGACAAAGAGAGAGGTCTTCCATCTGCTGGTTCACTCCTCAAATGCCGCAACAGCCGGAGCTGTGCTGATCTGAAGCCAGGAGCTAGGAGCTTCCTCCAAGTCTCCCACGTGGATGCAGGGGCCCAACCACTTGGGCCATGGAATGACTTTTTTTTTTAAAGATTTATTTATTTATTGGAAAGTCAGAGTTACAGAGAGAGAGGAGAGCCAGAGAGAGAGAGATCTTTCATCTGCTGGTTTACTCCCTAGTTGGCTGCAGTGGTCAGAGCTGTACCAATGCAAAGTCAGGGGCTTCATCAGTGTCTCCCACCTGGATGCAGGGGCCCAAAGACTTGGGCCATCTTCTACTGCCTTCCAAGGCCGTAGCAGAGAGCTGGATCAGAAGTGGAGCAGCTGGGTCTCTAACCGGCACCCATATGGGATGCTGGCGCTTAAGGCCAAGGCATTATCCCGCTGAGCCACGGCGATGGCCCCCCTGAAGACTTTATGTATTTATTTATTTTTTGACAGGCAGTGTGGACAGTGAGAGAGAGAGAGAAAAAAAAGGTCTTCCTTTTTGCCGTTGGTTCACCCTCCAATGGCCGCCGTGGCCAGAGCGCAGTGGCCGGTGCACAGCGCTGATCCGAAGGCAGGAGCAATGTGCTTCTCCTGGTCTCCCATGGGGTGCAGGGTCCAAGCATTTGGGCCATCCTCCACTGCACTCCCGGGCCACAGCAGAGAGCTGGCCTGGAAGAGGGGCAACCGGGACAGAATCCGGCACCCGAACCGGACAAGAACCCGAGAGGCTGGCACCACAGGCAGAGGATTAGCCTAGTGAGCCGCAGCACTGGCCCCCTGAAAGACTTTTTTAAAAGTATCCATCTGGACTTTGGACACAGTGCTTACCATAAATGCAAAGCGTACCAGGAAGGCTGAACATTCTACAGCCCTGAAGAAGACTAAAGTACCTCCCGTGCTCCATGAGGAGGTACTTTCACAACCAGACCAGGTTCAGGCTCAGCATCCAACCCTGACAGAAGTCACAGTTCAACCTTTTGATGTAGAACTTACCCTAACTCCAGAATCCATTGTGGAGGGTGAACCACTCCCAACCATGCAGGAGACTTCAGGGCAGCCTCCAGGGCCACATAATGAAGTGGTCTGTCAGCCTCCAGTTTATTATGAGATGGTAGTTCCAAAACCAAGTCAAGATCAAACTCCGCATCCAATGTCACCCAGTGGCACAGCTGAACCTTCGAAGTTAGAGTCAACCATAACTCAGGTACCCACTACACAGGATGAACATTCTACAGCCTTCAAGTCTATATCTCCTCCTCCTTATCCAATGTACCCTGAGGTGACATTTTCACCTCCAGTCCAGATTCAGACTCAGTATACAAACCTGCCTCAAGTCACAGTCAAGCCTCTGGACCTGGAAATTACCCAAACTCCACAACGTACTACAGAGGCTACACCTTCTACTACCATGCAAATGACCCTAACTCAGTCTACAGAGCCACTAAAGGAGCTCATAACTCAGTCCCCAGGGGACAATGAGATGACAGTTCCAACAGCAGGTCAGCATCAAGCTCAGCACCCAACATCACCCAGTGTCATAGCTCAGCCTTCCAAGATGGAGCTAACCATAACTCTGGTACCCACTGCAAAAGCTGGCCATTCTCCATCCCTGAAGAAGACTACAGATCTGCATCCAGGCCAGGTTCAGACTCAGCACTCAACCCTAACTGAAGTCACAGATCAACCCCTGAATGCGGCTGCCACCATAAATGTCTGTGAGCTCTGCACCTGCAAAGATGAGACACTTTCGTGCACTGGCCTCAGCCCAGTGCAGAAGCTTCACAGAGTTCCTGTACCAGAGCCCAACAGCTACAACGGCACCTTCAGCATGTTGTAAGAATCTCCCTTCCTCATGGTTCCCTACAGCCTGCCTGTCTCAGCAGCTTTTCCTCAAGAGCCTCCTGAGCCCTCCTCAAGTCCCCACCTTATGTTGACTCTGTGTGTGTGCGTGTGTGTGTGTGTGTTTTGGCAGGCAGTTAGACAGAGAAAGAGAGAAAGGTCTTCCTTTTGCCATTGGTTCACCCCCCAAGTGGCCACTTTGCTTGTGAGCTTTCCTGATCCTCCTTCTCTTCTTCTCTCTGTCCCTTCTACAGTCTCATGTGATTGCCCTTACTCCTTTTCCTGATTCTTTATTTATTGACATTTGCCATATTATTACCTCATTGCTTTACTCCCACTCTTCAACACAGCCCTCATCCCAACATATTAGAGATGATACAACAGGTTTAAGGATAGATTCTGGAGCCAGGTTGCCTGGCTTTGAACACAGGTCTCCCAGTGATTAGCTTTGTGACTTTCGACAAGTTATTTAGCTTGGATTCCATCTCTTCATCTATAAAACTGGATTATGGCCGTGATCAGTTCACTAGACCGTTGTGTATTTAGATGAGTGGATGCATACAATACATCACTTCCAAGCATATGTGAATGTAAACTCGTAATAAATACCATTATTGCTGAGCCCCTCAGTTGTAGCCTGACCTTACCTTTGTTCCTCTATACATAGTAGCCATTTTGTGCCATTCCAGGGTGTCATAGGAACCACAGATAGAGCACAGTTATTCTAAAACTTTACCTGAGGTTTACAACATGGCCATTATTTGTAAAATCAAGAAAAAAAAAGGGGGGGGGAGTCTGTTTTAGGCAAAGATTTGTCTGATGGAATGATCAAGATTTAGACTGTCTGGCTACAAGAGATGGACTTAGGAAGCAATGAAAGATATGCAAACAAACTTGAATATTGGCTGAGGGGTTTCAAAGTTCATAATGAGATATGGAGTGTCATTAAAAGCTTGTGAGTAAGAGAAAGATGATTTAAAATGGGGGGTATTTTAATCTACTATTTTCTTTTTAAAGGTTTTTATTTATTTACTCGAGAAGCAGTGCAACAGAGAAAGAGGTCTCATTCGCTTATTCATTCTCTAAATGCATGCAATGGCAGAGAGTGGGGAGGCCAGTGCCGGGAGCACAGAACTCAAACCATGCATGTGTATACAAAGGCTGTTGATTTTTGTGCATTGATTTTATATCCTGCTACTTTGCCAAACTCTTCTATGAGTTCCAATAGTCTCTTAGTAGAGTTCTTTAGATCCCCTAAATAAAGAATCATATCATCTGCAAAGAGGGATAGTTTGAGTTCTTCCTTCCCAATTTGTGTCCCTTTAATTTCTTTTTCTTGTCTAATAGCTCTGGCTAAAACTTCCAGAACTATGTTGAATAGCAGTGGTGAGAGTGGGCATCCCTGTCTGGTACCAGATCTCAGTGGAAATGCTTCCAACTTTTCCCCATTCAATAGGATGTTGGCTGTGGGCTTTTCATAAATTGCTTTGATTGTATTGAGGAATGTTCCTTCCATACCCAGTTTGTTTAGAGTTTTCATCATGAAAGGGTGTTGAATTTTATCAAATGCCTTCTCGGCATCTATTGAGCTAATCATGTGGTTTTTCTTCTGCAGTCTGTTAATGTGGTGTATCACATTGATTGTTTTGCACACATTGAACCATCCCTGCATACCAGGGATAAATCCCACTTGGTCTGGGTGGATGATCTTTCTGATGTGTTGGTGCATTCTATTGGCCAGAATTTTATTGAGGGTTTTTGCATCTATGTTCATCAGGGATATTGGTCTGTAATTCTCTTTCAATGCTGCATCTTTTTCTGGCTTAGGGATTAAGGTGATGCTGGCTTCATAGAAAGAATTTGGGAGGATTCCCTCTTTTTTGATTGTTCTGAATAGTTTGAAAAGATTTGGAGTTAGTTCTTCTTTAAATGTCTGGTAGAATTCAGCAGTGAATCCATCTGGTCCTGGGCTTTTCTTTGTTGGGAGGGCCTTTATTACTGTTTCAATTTCTGTCCCAGTTGTGGGTCTGTTTAGGTTTTCGATGTCTTCCCGGTTCAATTTAGGTAGGTTGCATGTGTCCAGGAATCTATCCATTTCTGATAGGTTTCCCTGTTTGCTGGCATACAATTCCTTGTAGTAATTTCTGATGATTCTTTTTATTTCTGTGGTGTCTGTTGTTACGTTTCCTTTTTCATCTCTGACTTTATTGATTTGGGTCCTTTTTTAGTTAGTTGGGCCGATGGGGTGTCAATTTTATTTATTTTTTCAAAAACCAGCTCCTCGGTTGGCTGTTTTTTTTTGTCATTTTTTTTTTACTCAATCGTATTGACTTCTTCTCTGATTTTAATTATTTCTCTTCTCCTACTAGATTTGGGTCTGGTTTACTACAGTTTTTCTAGATCCTTGAGGTGAATTGAAAGCTCATTTATTTGGTGCCTTCCATTTTCTTGATATAGGCACCTATTGCTATAAACTTTCCTCTTAACACTGCTTTTGCTGTATCCCATAAGTTTTGGTATGTTGTACTGTTTTCCTCATTTACTTCCAGGAAGTTTTTGATTTCTTCTATGACCCAGTGTTCATTCAGGAGCATGTTGTTCAATCCCCATGTGTTTGCATATGCTCTAGGGATTCCTGAGTTGCTAATTTCCAACTTAGTTCCCTTATAGTCTGAGAAGCTACATCGTATGATTCTAATTCTTTTGAATTTGCTGAGACTTCCTTTAAGGCCTACTATGTGGTTGATCCTAGAGGAGGTTCCATGCACTGCTGAGAAGAATGTAAATTCTTTAAGTGTAGCATGAAAAGTTCGGTAAATATCTATTAGATCCATTTGGGCTATAGTGTTGTTTAAATCTACTGTCTCCTTGTTGATCTTCTGTCTGGTTGATCTGTCTATTTCTGAGAGTAGAGTATTGAAGTCCCCCAGTACTATTGTATTGGAGTCTAAGTCTCCCTTTAAGTCCCTTAACAAACCTTTTAAATAAACCGGTGCCTGCAATTAGGTGCATATACATTGATAATAGTTACATCTTCCTGTTGAATTGATCTCTTAATCATTATATAGTGCCCCTCTTTGTCTCTCTTAACAGTTTTTGTGTTGAAGTTTATGTTGTCCGATATTAAGATGGCTACGGCTGCTCTTTTTTCATTTCTGTTGGCATGGTATATCTATTTCCAGCCTTTCACTTTCGGTCTGTGTGCATCTTTGTTGGAAAGATGTGTTTCTTGTAAGCAGCAAATAGATGGGTTTTGTTCCTTAACCCAATCAGCCAATCTGTGTCTTTTAACTGGACAGTTGAGGCCATTAACGTTCAATGTGACTATTGATAAGTAGTAACTTTGCCCTGCCATTTCCCAAAGATATTTTCTAATATATGCTTTGAACTTCCTGTGATCTTTTGCTGTGAGGTTTCCTTCCTTTACCTTCTTACATATTGATGACCGTGTTTCCGTGTTTCTGTGTGTAACACATCTTTAAGCACCTTTTGCAGGGCTGGACAAGTGGCAACAAATTCTTTCAATTTCTGTTTGCTATGAAAGGTCTTTATTTTACCTTCATTCACAAATGAGAGCTTTGTAGGATATAGTATTCTGGGCTGGCAGTTTTTCTCTCTTAGTACCTGGGCTATGTCTTGCCATTCCCTTCTAGCCTGTAGGGTTTCTGATGAGAAGTCTGCTGTAAGTCTGATTGGAGATCCTCTGAGAGTAATCTGACGTTTCTCTCTTGCACATTTTAGAATCTTTTCTTTATGTTTCACTGTGGTGAGTTTGATTACAACGTGTCGTGGTGAGGATCTCTTTTGGTCATGGTTACTGGGGGTTCTATGAGCTTCCTGTACTAGGATGTCTCTGTCCTTCTCCAAGCCCAGGAAGTCCTCTGCTAGTATCTCACTAAAAAGGCCTTCTAATCCTTTCTCCCTCTCCATTCCTTCAGGAATTCCTAGAACCCAAATGTTGGGATTTTTTTTTTTTACTAGTATCCTGTAGATTCCTAACAATATTTTTTAGATTTCTGATTTCCTCTTCTTTTCTTTGGTTTGACTGTATGCTTTCCTGTGTTCTGTCTTCTAAGCCCTGAGGTTGCTATTATGCATGTCCAAAATGGCATCTGTTCACTGTCTTGCTCGCCTTTGAGAGGTGAGCGGAGAGAGTGAAACTCCTGTCCGTACTGGTCCCTTTTATTATTTTCCTCTCTCCTGTAGTTAGCCTGGTGAACTTTCGCCTACGGGGCTTCAAGCCTCGTTCCCTCTAGGCTCCTTCTACTTTCCTGCCGGTTGTCTCAAGCTATTGAGGTTCGGTTCACTTCACGATCCAGCACTGGTGGGTAGATTCTGCTGCTGGTGTCCCGAGCTGTGGACTCCCACGCCCTCCACCGTGAATCACTAGTTCTGGAAGAGTTCCCTCTGCTGTTTCTTCCACAACTCTTCCTTGAATCTGCAGTATCTCCACTTTTATTAAACTGTCTCTTCCCGGACTATCAGTGTGCTCCCTTCCTATTCATCAAATGTAAATTTTATTATCCCCACTGACTATATAGGTAATAGCTAATCAAGGCAATGTTTTCCTTTTCCTAGAGATTTATCCTGCAACAAAATGGAGTCTATCGAAAGACGTGCATTTGAGTCACTCCCTTTTTTGCAGTCTATGTAAGTTGCAATTTCATCATATTTGGAATTTGAGTAAATCTTCCCTGTAAACCACCTTGCTGTTCACCTTGAAATAGGGTGAAGCTTCTACTTTACATTTGTAGTAGAAGGTTACTAAAATTCTGTAACAGGTCCTTTTCCTCTCTAGCACAGATGCTATCAGATACAAAGGTCAGAGTGAATCCCACAGAGCAGGGCTTCTCAACCAACTCAATTTTGTATTCAGGTAACATTTTGCAGCCCTGCACATGCTGCTGGCACCTAGTGGGCCAAGGCCAGCCTGCTGTTAAGCCACCTACTATATACAGGACAAACCTCCACAAGAAAGGCATTATCGAGCCCAAAATGTCAATAGCATTCAAGTTGTGAAACTCTGTTCCAGAGAAGTAAAGATCACGCAGTACAAGTATGTCATGTAATATGAAAATGATATGATGAAATTTAATGTAAAAGTGCAAGTATAATTTAGAAGCCAAATCTTCCAGTACAAGTAAATTCTTTAGTGTGTAGATAAAATGTGGAAGTGTTGTTTCATCTATAAAAATTAGAATCCCTCCTGAAAGAGGAGTATTCTTCAAATATATCCTTTTTTCTTCTTCATTCTCTTTGACTTCTGTCTTTTTTTGTAGAAATCTTGGTTGCAATTTACTGACAGAACTGAGCTTTGGGACATTTCAGGCGTGGCATGGAATGCAGTTTTTGCACAATGTGTAAGTGAAATAGATGATGAATGCATATTTAAAAACCATTTGTGTATAAAAATGGTATATAGTTATGCTTATCTGGGTATTAAGTCCTGTATATAAACTCTGCAAAGAAGGTCTTCATTTCAATTTTTTTTTTTCAAAAATCTAACACAAAGTACTCTGGGAGAAAAAGGTTCTGGTGCTTTCTCAGGGTTACCTGCTTTTAAATCATAATGCAAAAATAATTCCTGGGACCCAGCCAAAGGGCATGTCTCTCCCCATCACCCAGATCATGAGCTTTTTCCAAAATGTATTTAACTCTCAATTTATAAATTATCTGTGGATACTAAGAACCTTTATACTTTAGTATAAAAAAAAATAAGAAAATACACTGCTCTAACATAATCCCACATGTTCTGTCCTGACTAAACTGCAACAGAAAGTGAGTTTTATTCCCTTTCAGCTCAATAATTCTGTGATGTTCAATGGCCCGAGGGAATTTTAGATTCAAGATAAAGATTCTCCACTCAACCTGACGTTGAAAGACTATCCACCTGTTCTGTAGTTCAGAATCCCAGTCATAACCATTCTGGTTATGAGGGAAGGTTTTAGGATGTGTGGAGGATGGACCAACAGTGCCTGCAGATCTTGGGGAAGAACACTGAAAGTCTGTTTTTCCTACACCCATACACTGGGGAGCTGGTTCCTGAGGCTCCTACACCAAGTGGTTTTGGTAGAATCAGTAAAAATGGCCTCAACATATATCATTCCATTAGATTCCCTCCTAAGGGGCCTCTTAAGTTTTCTGTAGACAACACAGGGAGAAAATCTGTGGAATCACAGCATATGAAAAGTAATGGATTCATTTAAGAACATTCACTGAGTGCCAGGCCCACCGAGTGCCAGGTGCTATATTAAGTGCTGGGGGTACAAATTGGAACAGGACAGAAGCTTTGTCTCCAGAGACTTTCATGCCAACAGGGGGAAGTTGGGAAAATGAGTGACAGCCATGCTAGCATCTGTGCAGCAAGGCCAGAGAGATGAGCTGAAAAAGTAGGAGCAGAGCTAGGGATGGCGCACAGTACACAAGGCACCAGTTCATTTATCTCAAGATTCTGTGTCCATCTTAAGCCAAAGAAAAAAAAAAGCATTTGCTTCATGGTGATGCAAAAACCAGAGCTAGCTGGTATTGGAAACTAATTCTCTTATCATGTGATCTGAACATATCTAACTCGTGGTTACTTCAAAAATTGGCACAATGGCTGTAATACACCAAGTGTGTGTTGGGAGCTGGTCTCCTTTATTTGGGGACATATTCTTTTATTAGACAAAGCTAATCTGCTTCAAGGAAACTTTTGCTATCCCCGTTGCCCCAGGGAGACACCAGTGATCTTATGACCAAAGATGAGGGTTTTTAAAGTGAAAACAATGCTGTTCACTGCATTACAGAGTCCAGAAAAGAGTGCCAGCTGAGCTGGATTCATCATGAACTGGAGCCTAAGCTTCAAGGCTTTACGCTTGCACGTGCCCCTTCCAAGGTCCTGGGAGGGGCTGGAGCAATTTTTATATTCATAATTCTGCATGTTTCATTATAAGGGATTCCCCAAATTAGGTTAAGCTCACGCTCAGCAAAATCTGCATTCACCGTTACTTTGCACGTACTACATGCAGCCCAGTAAACATTCTTCTGAATGAAGCCTCTGTGTAAACAGCAGTGTGGTAGGATCAGTCTATTGTGAATCTGAAATCCACCTCAAAGACATGCCAAGAGCTTACCAGTGACATAACTCTCTTCAAATAATAATAATCATTAAATCTTTCAGCTGAAATCAGAAATAAATTACAGAAAATCAGCAGTAATTGATAATTCTAAACATTAAGTATACATTTTTTCTTCTGCTTCATGCATGTACATTAAATGTTTTTTTTAAAGAAATATTTAGTTGAAAATCAGAGTTACACAGAGAGAGGAGAGGCAGAGAGAGCAAGATCTTCCATCCAATGGTTCACTCCTCAATTGGCCGCTACAGCTGGAGCTGTGGTGATCCAAAGCCAGGAGCCAGGAGCTTCTTCCTGGTCTCCCAAGCAGGTGCAGGGGCCCAAGGACTTGGGCCACTGCTTTCCCAGGCCACAGCAGAGAACTGGATGGGAAGTGGAGCAGCTGGGACTAGAACCGGCACCCATATGGGATGCCAGTGCTTCATGCCAGGACGTTAACCCACTGTGCCACAGCACCGGCCCCTTGTACATTAAGTCTTAACCCAATGGCTTATTTTTAAAAATTGTTTTAGTCACTTCATTGGTTCTCACAATAAAACTCAGGTCTGCCCTTTGGGGTGTTTTGTAAGGGTTCAAAGGTTTCCACATTGTCACTTCCAGCAACTTTTCTTCTCATAATCTTCTCATCTGCACCATATTCTCATCTGTGTAACAAGAGATCTTCTTTTCTCTTAAGGTACTTCTTCCTCTGCCCCATATGTTTCTAAGTATTCTCTTCATTGCCTTTACTTTTTCTTCTTTAAGATTTATTCATTTATTTGAAAGTCAGAGATGGGGCTGGCACTGTGGCACAGCAGGTTAATGCCCTGGCCTGAAGCGCTGGCATCCCATATGGGCGCCAGTTCGAGACCTGGCTGTTCCACTTCTGATCCAGCTCTCTGCTATGGCCTGGGAAGATGGCCCTAGTCCTTGGGACCCTGCACCTCTCTCTCTCTTTCTCTCTCCCTCTCCTCTCTCTGTGTAACTCTGACTTTCAAATAGAAAGAAAGAGAGAGAGAGAGAGAGGAGAGGAGAGGAGAGGAGAGGAGAGGAGAGAAGGAAAGATAGTTACAGAGAGGTGGGGGAGGGGGTCGTCTTCCATCCACTGGTTTACTCCCCAAATGGCCAATATGACCGGAGCTGAGCTAGCTGATCCAAGGCCAGGAGCCGGGAGCTTATTCCAGGTCTCCCACATGGGTGCAGGGGCCCAAAGACTTGGGTCATCTTCCACTGATTTTCCAGGCCATAGAGAGAGCTGAATTGGAAGTGGAGCAATGGGGACTCAAACTGACATCCCATGTGTGATGCCGGCACTACAGGCAGTGGCTTTACTCGCTATGCCACAGCGCCAGCCCCTGCCATACACATCTTTAATTCCTCCTTTTATTAGGTCATTACGTTTTAGGCACTATACTAAGTACTTACACAAGTGAGATAACATGAGGAATGCACAGTAATGCTTGGCAAATGGTACATGATTACACACGTTGCTTCCATCTTCCCAACAACTCTTGCCATTTAGAAACGATGACCCCTATTGTGTAGGTGAGGGAGGTTAAACTGAGATACTAGCAGAGAACTTCCCCGGCTTGGAGAAGGACAGAGACATGCTAGTACAGGAAGCTCATAGAACCCCCAGTAACCATGACCAAAAGAGATCCTCATCACGACACGTTGTAATCAAACTCACCACAGTGAAACATAAAGAAAAGATTCTAAAATGTGCAAGAGAGAAACGTCAGATTATTCTCAGAGGATCTCTAATTAGTTCATACTGTTAATGTGTGATACAACTATTTAGGAACTTTACAAGAAATTTTCTGTGCAGTTCTTTGTTCCCTGGTGAACAAGAGCTGAAGGAGGGCAACTTGACCTTTTTGTGCATTGTACCTTTTTTAAAAGATTTATTTGTTTATTTGAAAGTCAGAGTTACACACAGAGAGAAGGAGAATCAGAGAGAGAGAGAGAGAGAGAGAGAGAGAGAGAGAGAGACCTTCCATCCGATGGTTCACTCCCCAGTTGGCTGCAATGGCAGGAGCTGTGCAGATCTGAAGCCAGGAGCCAGGAGCTTCTTCTGGGTCTCCCACGCAGGTGCAGGGGCCCAAGGACTTGGGCCATCTTCTACTGCTTTCTCAGGCCATAGCAGAGAGCTGGATGGGAAGTAGAGCAGCCGGGACTAGAACCGGCACCCATATGAGATGCCGGCACCACAGGCAGAGGATTAACCTAGTGAGCCACGGCGCCGGCCCCTAGAACAATATTTCTCACACTTTGACTCTGATTTGGCTTGTGCTGCCACATTTTACTCCCACAAGCGTTATCAAAAAGGCAGTGGAGTAGGATTCAATAGACCGCCATTTATCAAGTGAGGGAATGGGGCCAGAAATGGAAGCGATCTTCAGTGCGGAATCCATGTGATCCTCAAAGCATAATGGTTCACGGTAAAGAGCGTCTGTAGAGTCCTCCACCTAGAGCTGTTGAGACAGTTCCTGCTCAGTCTCTGCACTGCCCATGCACAACCCTAGTGAAGAAGTGAATGCTCTGCAATGGGAGGAAGAGGTGGGAGAGTAGAGTGGCCTCGCAGTGTGACTTCACTGGAGACACATGCAAGGCCCCTACGTCAGCTACAGAAGGGCTGCCCCATGAAAAGGAAAGGCTGAGCCATTTGGTACAAGGCCATGGGTGCTGCTAAGGAAGAGGGAAGCAGTGGAGAACGACAAACTTGGCCAAATTGTCTGCGCTGCTTAATGTTCTACCATCATTCTTCACAGCTTGGGGAAAGGGTGCCAAGGGGAGATGCAGAGGCCAAGGAGCCTTCTTGCACAAGGCTCCCTCGTGATCTCACAGAACAAAGAACAAAGAACAAAACAGATGATGGTCAAAGTCCAGTCTGAGAAACCCTGCTTCACCAAGCACGTGATACATTTTTCATCTAGCATCCTTAGTGACTATTAAAGAATTTTATGAGTTGAACAAGTTCATGATGCTAAAAATACCTGCGAGAACACACTTGAACGGGGGAGATCACAGGCAAGACAATACATGGTTCTTGAACTCACCACTGACCCTGACCTTGATCACAGAAGAATCAGATGTTTCATTCTTTTCCCATATAGCAGCATGTCTGGTTTTCTGGCACCTGTGTATAATATGGTTCTGTTTCAAAACTGAAATATAATCCACTTATCATAAAATGCATACAATCCAGTGGTGTCTAGTATAGTCATTCACAAGGCTCTATAATCATCTCCATTATCTGATTCTGT